ACACAAACATCCAAAAATTTTCAAATGATGATAACTAGGGGGAGAATTAAAAAAGAGTTCAAATAGTGATTTATTATGAAGGACGGAAGAAGGTAATTTGTTGATGATGTGAGTAGTAGTCAAAACACATTCCCTCCAAAATTGGATAAGTAATGAAGCTTGAAATCTTAAAGCTCTAGCTATTTTAAGGATATGTTTATGTGTTCGGGGATGCCATTTTCTTATGGAGTATGTATGCAACTAGTTTGATGAAGAATGCCATTAGCAAGGAAAAAGGATTGTAAGGTTTGATTGACAAATTCAGAACCATTGTCGGTTCAAGTAAGTTTGGATGGATTTATGAAATTGAGTTTGGACTAGTTTAAAATAACTATAATAGAAAGGGGACTTCACCCTTGGAAATCATGAGATAAGTCCAAGTGTTACGAGTAAAATCATCAATAATTATGAGGAAAAATAAAAAAAATGGTGTGTTAGGACTTTAGAAGGCCCTCGAACATCACGATGAATAAGATGGAAAGCAACGAGTAGAAGAAGTGTCACTCTTATTAAAAGGTAATGCTGGATTGTTTGGCAAGTGGACATACGATACAATTCGGAGGTTTGACTTCACATAAGTACGGAATTACAAAAACAAGATGTCTAAGTTTGCTTAAAGAAACATGACTAAGTCTATGATGCCATAACGAGTACTATCTATAGTGGCGAAGCTGTTAACATTTTGAGCCGAGTAAGAAAATTTTGACACATGAAATTTAAGAACGGGAGACATATAATATAATCTATCCATTTGTCTACCAAGTTCCACGGCTATCTTACGCACGTAGTCCTGCATGTGGCAAGAATTTTTGGTGAAAGTAATGGTGCAAGCGAGTATCATTAATGATTTCTACGATGGATAAAAGATTATGCTTATAAGCGAAAACGTATAAGACATCATGAAAAATAATGTTCGGATGAATAGTGACGGTGCCTATGTATGTGACGTATGAAGTTGGGCCATCTAGTAAGTGAACCAAGTGTGGATTATGGAGTTTTGTAGGTGATTGTAGTAAGGAAAAACAACGTGTGATATGGTCGATGGCACCACTATCAATAATCTAGTCATCTATTTTGTGAGATGCGATAGAAAGTGAGTCGATACCTACTTAGATGGTGAATTTGATTCATATTGGAGGTAGGTTGTTGAGCAAGAAGTTAAAGAATTTAGGCTATTTGATCGGGAGTGAATTGAAAATTGGAATGGGAAGTCATATTGGCATTTGTGTACGTAGACATTAAAGAAACACCGAGCATTGGAACACCGACCATTAATCCCTGCGGATGCAAGCTACTAGGTAAATTTCCGGATTTCAATTGGTCGGTGCTTTCAACATTGTTACTCTGGATTCTCTACAAAGTTCTTGGAGCATTCACTACATTCTTCACGATCACTACATTCCTTCTTCCTTTCATTTTATAGTTAGGTGGATAATTATGGAGTTGAAAGCACTTTGCCTTTACATGCCTTGGCATTTGACAATGCTCACACCACAAATGCCTTCGGTATTGGCATTTCACATCCGACTTCCTTGATTGTGACTATTGTTCCTAGTCATTAAGACAGCTATGACATCTTTCATAGGTATGAAATACGAAGCTTCCATTTATTTTTTTCTGTTGAACTATTGAATATGCATCTCCACATATGGCGGAGGCTTCATTAACAAAATTTGGCCTCTAACAAGTTTAAAAACGTCATTTAATCCCATCAAAAATTGCATTAGTTTATGTTCATCCTGCTTGCTCTTCCCGGGCTTTTGCTACTTCATAGTGAGCATTTATTGTGCACAAAGGAATGTGAGTCATAGCCTCGATTTCATCCCATAGTTGCTTCGATTTTGTGTAATACATTTCAATACTCATATTCTCTTAAGTGCGGGAGAAGATTGCCTTACGTAATCCATAGATCATTGTACCAACGACTTGTTGGAGAAAAATTTCTTGAGGTTTGACCATATAATCGTCGTAATACTGCCATGGAGTATAGACCTTCCTATTTTTTAGAAATGGCACTGAGCAACCATGAGATCACCATATTATTCACTGCTCCCATTGTGGAAGATTTAAACATCCTTTTCTTGGTTTTGGAATATCACCATTAACAAAACCTAGTTTGTACATGTAGACAAGAGCGATCTCCATTGACTCGTGCCATGGAATATAATTAGAGGCTCCTATCAATGGCTGATTGACGAGGACCATTCCGAGTATATACGAGCTCGTTAATTGTAGAGCATTCGATGCCATTCTTTGGAAGTACATTCTCGTTTGCATTTGTCATGAGCTGAATTAGTTTTGAAGAGATTTCTTGATTGATCAATTATGCTACGATACCATGTGAAGAAATGATTTCGGAGGAAAATCAAGAGAGAGAAGAAGATGAATCGAAGCAAACTTCTTAATATGTTTTTTCGAGTGCTACGTAACACATATCAACATTGTTTATATACCAGTTACCCATTACGTTAGGCTTAGTCTAACTAACTTCTTAATCGACTACCCTTTAACAACTAGCTGATGATTAAGCGAACTAATTAGCCAATTACATGTATGTCATTCATGCTATATATGTGTTAACACATTGCCCAATGCTAACATAAAAACCTATGATCCTTCCCGAGAATTTCATTAAGCCGATCATCAATTGACCATATATCGCTTTGTTTACTTGTGTGCTTCAAATACCATTCTTCGATCTGTCATAGTTAGTAAGAATCGTCTTCAGAAAGCATAGATGACCATAGCTAGTTGTGAGGTTGTGCGGTTTGGATTTTGTATCCTTGGGAAAGTCAATCAAACAAAAGTGGTTGGGAATTCTATTAGGATCATATGCAATGATTTTTCTACTTAAAGGCTTAGTCCAATGAAGAATGCCATTATAGGGAATAACTTGGACGGGGTAATGTCCTGCTTGGTTAGGAAGAAACGAAAACGAAAATCCTAAAGAAGATACTTCGAGGAATCCTGGATTGAAAGCAATACGGTCAATTATTCTATTAAATCGAGAAACCTTCTTTGACTAGCCAAACAAAAGGACCCACGGACAAGAACCGGATGATGATGAGTCATTATTGACTCGGGTTGCATAAAAACGAGCGAAGCATAAATCGAAAAAAAAATAAAAAAAAAACCCGGCGTTTGAACACGAACTTGAAACTTGAACATGGATTTTAAGGGAAGTCTTACCGGGATTTCTCCTAAAATACAACATGGGAAATCACTATCTTGAAGACTACAAGAATGTTCTTCTTGGTCTCTCCTTCTTGCCATCTTAATCTTTGACGGGAGAGGATGTTTTTTCTCGTTTTGATAATTAGTTTATATCTATATGTTAAAAAAAATCTTTAGTTTCAAGGGAGTTGTAACAAGGATGCTATTCGAGTTGCCCTTAAGTCTTTTTGGTAAGACGTAGTTGTGAGAGTTTTCCAATAAATTTTATAATACTTAATAAGTAACTAGTGTATATATATAATAGATAATATATGGATTCATTTTTCAATTAAAAAATAAACACATAAAAAAAGACAATTACATATGGATCCATTAAAAAGAGAAATAGTCATGTACAATAGTTATTTTATAAGCTCATTTTTCAAAAGAGAAATAAAAATTAAAAAAAAAAAGAATCACATGTGCATCCACCAAAAGTGATAATAAAATTTTTACATTAACTCAATTTTTTTTTAATTTTCTCTGTCCTATTTATATCTATCTTTTTTTATGAAGTAATTTATACTAATTACTCCTTAAATATTATAAAATTTCTTATAGTTTTCCTATGCGTGTTAGGTTTATTTAAGACTCTTTCTTTCTTTCTTTCTTTCTTTTCCTAATAATAATAATAATAATAATAATCCTTTTGAATGATTTATCGAGGCATTGGTTATTAGTTTTCTTAGAAAAATGCTCTATCCAAAGATAATAAAGGAAAAAAAAAAAAAGAGCTCTTTCTATTGCCTTATTTAATTGGAAGCACTGAAGTCCCATGACCTTAGGTGGCACTTATGAAAATTTCATCATAGAACATTTAGCCTTGTAAATATTTCATTCAAACTCCCCTAGTAGCCCACCCACAATTTTCATTTTTATTTTTTTATTTTATTTTATTTTATTTTTAATTTCAACGGTCGGATAATCTAAAATTAATTTCTATGTTAATTGAGATGGGGCTTTCTCTTTATACAATTTTTAAAAATTTATCATCCATATCAACTTAATACATAATTCTATCTTTAGGATTCTATTTCTTATATTTTATATTTCTTACGTATAGCTACTTCACCAAAAATGATTTTCTTTCTTCTTTTCATTGAATTTTTATTGAGATTCCAATCGATTTATTCTATATATATATATATATATATATATATATATAATTTTTTTGTCATTGGATTTTTATCGAGACTCCGATCAGGTCATTTGACCTGATCGGAGTCTCGGTAAAAATCCAATGAAAAGAAAAATAAAAAAGAAAATTATTTTTGGCCAAATGGCTATACGGAAGAATTATAAAAAAATAAGAAATAGAATCCTAAAGATAGATTTATGTATTAATATATATAGTAAAATTGATTTATGTATTAATATGTATAGTAAGATTTGAGTTCTTTAGTTATTCCTATTTATGCTCTTCTTCTTTTCTTTTCTTTTCTTTTCTTTTTTTCCTTTTTTTTTTTTTAAAAAAAAAAAATTGATTCCTTTTATGTTTATAGGTACAAAGCTCTAGTCTCATTGTCTATGGGCTTATGAAAATTCAATCTCTTACTCGCAAGTGACAAGCCCAGTCTTGGTATGCAAATTCGCAGTTAATAATCACTCGCAAGGCCGAAACCGTAATTCCACTAACAGAATAAATACACCCTCACTAACAGCTAGGGTTTCTTCAACCTCTACCAAAAGACCCCATCGTCTAGGGTTTTTCTGTTTTCACTCAAATCAACCTCAAAATCTCCAATCCAATGGTAGGCGGTTTCGAAGTAGGTGGCGTCCCTTTCAATCCCGACGGTTGGGGTCCACCGGACGCTGCAGTCAACACTACCACCACCTCCACACTCCCTCTCAACGTTCCCTTTGCTCCCTTCTCTCGCTCCGAAAAGCTCGGCCGAATCGCTGATTTCACTCGCAATCTTAACCAAGGCTCTGGCCAAGGCGCTGGTGGGCGCAAAAACGCTGCATCTGATTCCGTCTTTGACTTCACTGCCGACGATTCCTTCCCCTCCGCCGCTGACAATGATTCTTCCTTCCGTCTCGTTGACGGGAAGCCTCCTCCGCGGCCGAAGTTTGGACCTAAGTGGCGGTTCAACCAGCACCACCGCACACAGCTGCCGCAGCGTCGCGATGAGGAAGTGGAGGCGAAGAAGCGCGAGGCGGAGAAAGAGAGGGCTCGTAGGGATCGCCTTTATAATCTTAACCGGTCCAATCAGCATCAGACACGTAGGGAAGCGGCGGTGTTTAAGAGTTCTGTCGAGATCCAGCCTGAATGGAATATGCTTGATCAGATTCCGTTTAGTACATTTACGAAACTGTCCTTCTCGGTTCCGGAACCTGAGGATTTGATTTTATGTGGTGGGCTAGAGTATTATGATAAGAGTTTTGATAGGATTACACCGAAAGCGGAACGGAGGTTGGAAAGGTTTAAGAATAGGAATTTCTTTAAGGTAACTACTACTGATGATCCTGTTATTAGAAGATTAGCTAATGAAGATAAAGCTACTGTTTTTGCAACTGATAATATTTTAGCTACATTAATGTGTGCACCCCGGTCTGTTTATTCGTGGGATATTGTGGTTCAAAGGGTGGGAAATAAGTTGTTTTTTGATAAAAGAGATGGGTCTCAGCTTGATTTGTTGTCGGTTCACGAGACGTCACAGGAGCCTTTGCCAGAGTCTAAGGATGATATAAATTCGGCATATTCATTGAGTGTTGAGGCTGCTTATATTAATCAGAACTTTTCGCAGCAAGTTTTGATTAGGGATGGGAATAAGGTCACATTTGATGAGCCCAATCCCTTTGCCAATGAAGGCGAGGAGGTTGCATCTGTGGCTTATAGGTATAGGAGGTGGAAGTTGGCTGATGATATGCATCTTGTTGCTAGGTGTGAAGTGCAGAGTGTTGTTGAGGTTAATAAGCGAAGGTCGTTCTTGACATTGAATGCGCTTAATGAGTTTGATTCTAAGTATTCTGGTGTTGATTGGAGGCAGAAGTTGGAGACTCAAAGGGGTGCTGTTTTGGCTACTGAATTGAAGAATAATGCTAATAAATTGGCTAAATGGACTGCTCAAGCTTTGTTAGCTAATGCAGATATGATGAAGTTAGGGTATGTTTCTAGGGTTCATCCGAGGGATCATTTTAATCATGTGATTTTGGCTGTTGTTGGATATAAGCCTAGAGACTTTGCTACTCAGATTAATTTGAATACCTCCAACATGTGGGGTATTGTGAAGAGTATTGTTGACTTGTGTATGAAATTGAATGAGGGTAAGTATGTGTTGGTGAAAGACCCGTCTAAGCCACAAGTGAGGATTTACGAGGTTCCTGCTGATGCATTTGAGAATGATTATGTGGAGGAGCCTTTGCCCGAGGATGAACAAGTTCAGCCTCTTGAGGAGAATACTGAGAATGCGGAGGCAAATGGTGTTACAAATGATGTGGAAGATAAAGAGATTGATGCTCAAGCTTGAAGGTAATGCTTTAGTTTTCTTAATTGACTAAGATGATCTTTTTTTATGATTAGTTCAGTATACCAGCACTTGACATTTCACGTGAATATGATGATGATGTTCTGTAGAAATTATGCTTAAACTTATAGGTGGTATTCAATTTTTATCATGATGTCATCAATGTTACATGGTCAGTTTGTCAAGCGGTCTCTGAAGTTCCTTTGCATGAGAGAGGCTGAATTAATATCCTACACTATTGTAGATTAAGTCATGATTGGAGTCAAGCTCTGATGTACTCATAGGCATGCACCAAGAAATAGTTGTTCTATAGATTCATTCAATTAAAATATGTGAAACTATGATAGATTGGCCCAAAAGGTAGCATCTTTTAATTTGCTATTTCCGCAAGATATGAAACTTTTGTTGTCAGAGCTAGTAGCTGTCGTAATTTCTATTCTGTCAATGAGAATTTGTCCCTATCATTTTCATTTTCCTTTCTGCATGAAGTGAATGGTTTGCTAACAATAAGCTTTTAGTTTTCAAAGCATTTTTCAGACTCTCTGTCAACAGTATCCCACAAGCCTTTTTCCAATTTTTGTTATAACTTGTGAGTTGTAGTTTACCCCTTGGAGATCCATTATTTGAATGCATAATGATTTGGCTGTAATTATGGCATCTTAAAGTCTACATAGTCTGGGGCTGAATGAATTAAAAGTCATCTTTGAAGTTTAATGTCAATATTGTAATCCACACATTTGCAGCATTCTCACCATCATTCATTTTTATGATTTTGATATGAGACATATTTTATAATTAATTTGTGTGAAAACTGATTTCCTTCTTGTTAATACTTTGTGTGTAGAATGATGGGAAAGAAAACTCAAAAGTTTTAAGTTGAATTTTCATAGAAGCTCAACCTCACCTACCGCTAAAAGTAATGTTTCTGAAATGTTTGATTGAGCTAACAGATCTATTCTACAATCTATAGCATTCTCACACTGCTCCTAGTTTGAGTTTCTGATCCTATGTATGTTTGTAGGTGTTTGTTTTTAATGCTTTCATGCATATCTTTTGTTCATTTTCTTAATTGAATTTTCGACATTGGTTGATTGTTCTACTTTGATAAAGCTTATATAATTCATTTTTTTTCTTTCCTATTCTGCATTTCCACCTTTGTTCTCATATTTAATTAAAGTAAATTTACTTGAAGCTTGAACCCAGTTCTGAGTTTCACTAGGTTTGAATCCACTTTTATTCTTTCTCTTTTCTAACTTATTCGAATAAGAAAGAAAGAGGGGGTAGCAGTCAGAGATATTTAATTTTGTCTCTAATTTTCTTCACCCCTTCTTGTTGAGAAGCTGCTAAATATGAGTAAATAAAATGATGAAAGGTTAACTCATCTTTAACTTATTGCCACATTGTAATAAAGTCAAGGTCACTTTCTAGTGTTCATAAATTTATCTTCCTTGTCATATGTTCCTGATTTCAATTGACTGAAGACTGGAAATGGTACAATTGGGTTTTATTTGTTTGAAAATTTTCCAACATATTTCTCTAGAGTAACCTTTGTTGATTTGGATGGTGGACTTAAGAGAATATATTCAAATAAGTAGCTTACCATGTAACTTGCATATTTCATCTCAATTCATCATTTTTGCACTTTCCCCTTCCGTGTTTTGCAAGATTGTCTACCTTTTTGGTGATAATACTGTTGTTTCCATGGGAAAAAATGGTAATCTTATATACAGTATTGTTTTTAATTAATTTTGTTACCCTTGTTTACAAAAGAAGTTCATTAAAAACTACCATCTTCTACTCTTTCTTATTGTCAACTTTGAAGTGACGTCTCCAGCAGCTCCTCTTCAAAACCTAGCCAAACATTCTCAGTATTGTCTATTAATGATTTTTTGTTGTCAGAAAAGAATCGTGATATTCACCAGCCATTACATCTGCGCTTTTTTTCATATATACATTATAAATTGTCTTTTGGTGTCAAATTCTTTTGTGTAGGTGATAGGTTTTTCATTCTTGTTTCTACAATATTTAATTTCTAGTTTTGGAAGGTGTCTCTTCTCTAGTGTCATGAAGATACTTGAACAAGTTTATAGCTCATCTCCTATCTTTATTGAACTGTGGTAATTTCTATACCTTACATGCCTACCATTTTGCAATTATTGGCTCGGTTTGCTAATTGCTCCTAAATTGGATCATGCAGATCGATCTTGGTTTTGTTTTGCTGCGAACAAAGTTGCTGGTCAAAATTTGCATGTTGAGCATATTTGCGCCCTCGAGGATTGTGGTCCAGGCAGTACTCCTTATATATTTTGTTTATTTTTCAGTTTGTGTTTTTCAATTTGCACACAACTGTTGCTATTTGATCACAAAGATGGTCCAAGCATTAGGTGCTTGCTTTTTTTGAGACTTAGCTGTACCAAATTTGTAGTTGTTCTGGATTTTTTGTTTGACTGGAAATAAAATTATATATCATTTGGGAACTTCGATGCTTAATGAAGGCAAAAAATTGGTCTGGTTTGAGTTTCTTTGTTCCCTGTTTGTGAATGTAAACAATAATAAGGCAAAATCAATTAAACTCAAATTTGAAATCACAATCGAGTTCTGACCAGGAACTCCAAGATTACATGCTTATGCAAACTTAAACAGTAATCACAGTTTAGGATGCGGTAGTAACTTGAGCTCCGACGCAATAGCAGCAACTCAAAGGCCTATCGTTTATCCTATAGGAGGGATAAGTGTGATCTGGATGCCATTTATCGGATGCAGGGGAGAATTTTGCCCTATCGTGTGATTGTGAAATCTCACAATGCAAATAAATCCTTAGATTTCCCAATTGCGAACTCCCTTGATTGATGTTGTTTCTATGAGAATTAGTAATCAGTAATCACAGTTTGGGATTCAGTAGTATCTTAAGCTGTTAACGTTCAGAATCCCCACCGTCACTAGGTCTTGAAGTTCAAATCCTAGATAGCAACATGACCGTTGTTTGAGAGATTGCTCGTTCCTTGACGCGACAAATGGGTCCATTCTGTAACTTCGAAAGTCCTTTCATTCTCATGTCTTCGACTCTTCAAGAAACCAATACAGCTGTGAACCACAGAATTGAACGTTGGAGGTCTGTTGTCATTTAAACTCATATTCCCTCAGTATTTTTTTTCCCCTTGTTTCTTTGATGAGTCAACAAAAATAAATATATAAAATTGATTAGAGGTATTGGAATGTACGGCCACAGCATTTTATAAGTTACTCGAAAACTACATCTCTTTTTTTAACTTCAATTCAAAGCCAAGTTATGTACCGAAGAACATGGACGGGTGCTCAGGAGGAGCATCGATGATGTAATAATACACATTGATCCGTAGCCATGCGACCTAACCGTGGGTGAGAACTGCATATATGGATAGTAAGATGATGGCTCTTGAACCTTGTAGCCTATCATTATTGTGTTTTTTTTTTCATCAACTGTAGTGTATCTTATAGTTAGATGGTTGAGATCGCTACTAAGACCAACTCTTGCACAAACTGTCGGTGGTTTGTCACTATTTTACAAGGGGAAAAAAACATTACAAAGAATTTTAAATCATTAAATGATGGGACTTGTCCACTTCACAATTCTACACTTACAATTTATTTAAATTACTTGTTTGTGGTTATCTTTTTTCTTCTAAATAGTATTGACATTACTTGGTGGGTCACTCGTTTGACCATACGCAACATCACAACAACAATCCATGATGCTGGTGGTGGCATGCTTGACTATAATCGGAATTGCCCTTGGTAAAAATCATTTGTTTATCCGGTTCTACCCTTTGGTATTCATTGACGTAACCCTGTCTAATACTAATAATTTCTAGAATTAAAGCAAAACAGCTGGTGGATTAATTGCGTTCAAAGTTGGCTATTGAAGAATCTTAGGATATCAAATCCCCAAGCACGAGAAAAATCATTGGGATCTACGTACTGTAATCAATATTAAAGAGTAGTAATTTACAAGTAAAATGGAGGAAGTATTTTTAATGCTGCAATTTATGGCTTGACGTTGAGCGCATTGGCACTCGCATTATTGACCCTGTATTAAGATGGACCTTTCATTTTTAAAGCCAAATAATGTCACATATATGGTCCTTACTGTTAAGGGTTTTAAAAAGAAGTGGCAAATGACACATTAGTGACTACTGCGATTACAGCATTTTGGAAGAATTTTACGAGAACCAGAAGGACCTTTCTTCATTCTATGCCATTGAAGTGGAAGCAATTACGGAAGCAGTTTCCACCCTCAAAAAAAAAAAAAAAAAAAAAAAAGGGCTATACGCAGTGACTTTCCTTGAGAGATGAAATACATTCAAAAGTAAACTATTACTCTTATTTAGCTTCTACTGTAGGTTTAACAATGTTTTACCTCGGTTTCTATCATTTCATTTTTCAATCTGAATCTTGATGTTCAGAAAAAAATTTCAATGCGATTCCTACCTTTTAAACAACTAACGGAACCATGCCATGCCTACTTTTTCTTTCATTTATTTCTTTATTTTCGTATTCTTCTCTTACCTTTTCCTTTCAAATTTTAATACATTTGATAATATCCCCACAAAATAATTATATGTAAAAAAAAAAAAAAAAAACTCTTCCATTTGCCTCGTTGAAAATTAGTAAATGTGGTGCTAGATCATTTACCTATTTTTATTGAATTGATTGTCAAATTGAATGCAATGAAAGATAACGTATTTTAATTTAATTTTTCTTGAGAACTTAGAAACAAATTAGATTGTGTCTGATAATGCGTTTCCATTGCATTTGAAAATGCTTTTTAAAGTTCGTTTGGTCTGAAAAAAAAAAAAAACAAAAAACAAATCAATTAGATGATTTTTTTAAGTGTTTTTGCATGATTTTGATATCTTGATGTTCAAAATACCAAAAAGTATCTGAAAAGTATCGAATTGATTTTTTTTTTTATCCAAACATATTTTTATAAAAACAGTTGTATCGCATTAACAAATACACACTAAATACTAATTAGGTAAAATAAACTTTATGGCAATAGCAATTTGGGTTAGGAAATAAAGAAGGAAGAGTACTTATGTGGATTATGGAACGAAGGTAGTATTTCAAAACGGGGATCCACCATTTGTTATTTAAAAGTTAGGAGTCGGATTGGAAATTTTGAAAAACATTACGGATGATATTGAAAAAACTTTAAACTATAGAAACTGAGATAGAATACTGTTACATTTACGAAGATGAAAGTATAGTCTATTTCCATATTCAATTATTCATGTGGCGGTAACATCTTCGTGTTTACAAAATTTAATGAATATTGGTGAACTAATACTACCTGTCAATTACCATCGATATCCTTGCTTTTCCAGCTTATTTTCATTGGTCCTTTACGAAAAATCATTAAGAACAGAAAAGAAGTGCCAAAATAATTTAAAATGGATGAAATTTGAAGAGAGAAGTTTTGGAAGCGCATATTGTGTCTGGGCCAACCCAGATATTCGTCAGCTTGTCCATGTCTTTTTCTACCAGGAGCATTGCCACCATATCCATAGTACAATTAACTTTTACAGTGCAAGTTCAATGGTAATAAATTCAAAAACAACTCTCTATAGATGCACAGTCGCAGTAATGGTAAAACATAAATAATGAGTAACGGCTTCTAAATCCAAAAGGAAGATATTGTCGCCATTTTTGCCCAACTCTTTGAATCCTTTGCCTTACTCTTGCTAGTTGAGTAGTTTCAACTTTCAACCAAATTTATGCAAGAATAATTGGATTGGAGAGAATTACCCTAATCGATGAACTAAAGAGAGTACTAAAAAACAAAGTAAAAGGGTCACAAAAATCGAAGCACATTGGAAACTTCCACTTTGCCTTGCAATAAGTGAACGAATCCAGAACCTCTGTGTCACTTGTCCACATTTTTGTTTTTTTAACATTGTTTGTCCACCATTGAACGCATAAAAAGCATAATCCTTGTATCCCTAATTTGTTTATGACCTATTTTTCTATTACTAATAATTCAAGAGCATCTCCAATACTCTCTTTATATTAAGATTTTTCTTTATAATAAAGAGGTTTAACCAAAATTTCATCTCCAATGCTCTATTTATTACAATCTCTATCTTTAAAAGTGAGATACAAAGTGTTTTTAACTCTCTAATACTACGGAGTCCAGGATGACTCTTTATCCTATATTTTATTAATGAAAATTGCTATTTCCTATTCCACTCGGTCTCTTCACCAATAGTCTCTCCGAATTATTTGTCAAAATTAAATGTTTTATAGATTTTTTCAAAATAAAAAATTAAAGTAGAGAATAACATTGGAGAGGACATTGATCTTCAATTTATATAATTAATGGTGTTCTCTATTTACATTAAAAATGCTAACTAAAAGTAGAGAACACCATTAGAGATGCTCTAAGTGCTTCTCTAACCACAATTGTTTCACATTTAATGGTCATTGACACGTCTTGTGAAAATTTCATTACAAATTAAGAAATCTTATAATACACAAAAAGCAATTAGTGACATGACATATACGAGTAATTACTTCATAGACTCATTTTGACGAGAGAGATAAATACAAAAAAAAAGAGAAACATGAGAGAGAGAATTAAAAAAAAATTGAGCGAGTGGAAATCTTCGTATTATTTTTTGTGGATCCGGATGTAATTCAATGTATTTATCTCTCTCTTCAAAGTGAATCTATAAAGTAATTATTATACATGTCACTAATTATTACTTGTATCGAGGGGAAAAACATAAGGGCTGTTTCCAACGAATAAAATCCAAACAGAAAATGGACCAAGGACTGAATTTGTATGTTTTCCCCTACCTCATTTTGTAAAGATAAAAAAAAAAAAAAAAAAAAAAAAAAAATCGTAAGGTCTAGTAAAATGCCTCCCCAGAGATCCAACCACATACTACTATATATTTGGACATGGTAAATGGGAAATGGTGTTATAATAGTAGCAGAATCACTTGGTTTGAAAGTCATGATTTCTTTGGATATGGTAGGGTTGCAGGATAAATCTTCAAAATTTCCCTAATATTTCCACAGTAAAAAACTTAGAAATGAAACTTTTCACTTTTTACTTTTTTTTTTTAATTAAAGCAAACATATAAAGCTAGGAAAATAATCCACGATGTTGCCAGACAAACACAGGATAACGTAATTTGTAAAGCAAAAGACCGACACAAGCTAGTTCAAAAGCAAACAACAGCTCAAAACAACGAGACACGTCATATACATATGGGGCAAGTTACATTCTTAACATTTGTTCATAAGATCTACTAAAGTTTATCTTTTCTGGTAAATTTTCTAAAGGTTTATTAAAATGGGAAGCACTTAAATTTAGAAAATAAACTAACCCTAATTACCCTATATACATCCCTCCCTGTACACATACCTCCCTATATACAACAGTCTAGAACCCTCAGAAGAGTCTTATAGCTATCCCTCTAGTGTTTAAGGGGAAAAAAAAGAAGATATTTTTCAGCAAAATCGCAGCGAATCACGGCTTAAAAGTCCTATAAAACCCCTCCTTTGAAAACTTACTTCACCATCACTCCCTAGTCTCTCTCACACTTTCTCTTCCACTGTCCAGGTTCTCAGAGAGATGGGTTTTCTTACAGCTAAAGCTCTTGTGCCACTCGTTCTTTCACTGCTTTGCTGCACTGTTTCTAGTGAAAAGGCTGAGGCACCTCTTCACCATGGCTCTTCCCATTACAACCCAACAGCAGCACCAGTAAGTGCGCCACCAACTCAGCACCACCACCACCACCACCACGGTCACGCACCGACCCATGCACCTAACCAAGCGCCTAGCCAAGCACCTACCCCACACCACCACCACCACCATCATGGTCATGCACCAGCTCCTGCACCTGTTCACACTCCAGCACATGCACCAATGCACCCACCAAAGCCTCACTCTCCCCCACCAGTACCAGCACCCCCTCCCAAGAGCTCTCACCCGCACCCACCGATGCATCCCTTCCCTAGGATGCTTGTAGCAGTTCAAGGTGTTGTTTTCTGCAAATCTTGCAACTATTCTGGGGTTGATACCCTCTTGGGAGCAAAACCAGTTCTCGGTAACTTGTTCAGACTTTCTAAACCCTCCCGCTTTAACATTTTGTCTGTTAAAAAACAATATCTAGTTAATCTAACAATATATTTAAGTAAAAAAAAGAAAAGAAAAAGTTACTTCTCTTTTTGATGATCTCGACTGCTTTGCATGTTCAAGTTCAGTTATAGCTTCATCTTACGAGCTAAAAAACAAAAATATTGCCTAACTAGCTAGTTTACGTATGAAAATGTTCTTTCTTTTTTGTTTATCTTGGAAGTTTATGTAATGTGTGAGCATGTATAAATACGTAGGATTTATAATAAATTGATAACAATAATAACGTAGATTCTGGCTAATTTAGTTCAAAAAGTTAATAATTTTTTACTTTTTTAAGCGATCCAACATCATATTTTGCTTGTTAGATTGCATGGATTATAAAGAATTACTGTGTATTTAATAATATGGGTGGAAATAATGTTGATAATCTCTCAGCCATTCATCACTTAGCTTAATAGGAAGAAACTAATCAATTGTCATTTTAAAATTTTCTGATTAGAGACTAGTTATCTATTTTGTTGATTCACGTACGTATGCTAATGCATTTTGCACTTTTGTACATTTTCATACGCATTGTGCCAGCTTTCCTTGCCCTCTCTCTGTCTACTACATGGACACAGTGTGTTTTTATTCAAGTTTTGAATTGAGAGAGAGAGAGAGAGAGAAGGGGTCCCTGCTCAGTTTTCTATGTCCATGTAACATCAATTAGCTAACAAGGGTATGGGCAGAAGCAGCTTTACTTTTTCAAAGTAATAGCTCTTTATTCTAGGTACATAAGTAACATCAATTGCCCGAGTCCAGCATTGTCTATGGCATCTTGGCCTAGAGTTCCTAAAATAGCTACTACTTTTCGAAACATTTGTTTATCAAAAAAATAGGCAAAAAGGAAAGAAAAGTAAAGTGATGTTCACTATTGTTTTTTTGACCCAATCAAGTGTCTTTAAGGATTAAATCGTCATGGCAGGGGCTACTGTGAAACTACAGTGCAATAATACCAAGTACCCACAAGAGGTGAAGGCTACAACTGACAAGAATGGTTACTTCCTCGTGAAAGCACCGGGGACCATCACCAACTACGGAGCCCATAAGTGCAAGGTGTGGTTAGTCTCAGCACCAAACACCGCATGCAGCAAGATAACTGATCTCCATGGTGGACTGACTGGTGCTATGTTGAGGCCTGAGAAGAAGCCTTACGTTGATGAAAAGAAGCATGAATTTGCTCTCTTCAGTGTTGGCCCTTTTGCTTTTGAGCCCAAATGCCATCGTTGATGGCCCTCCCATAATTTGGGTTACTTGCTGCTACTGATTTCTAGCAATTATGACGCTCTTTAATTAGTGTTTCTTTTGGGTTGTGTAATGCCGATTTCTTACTTCCTGTTATTCGTCATCAGTGTGCCGTTTGAGTGAAAATAATTTATATCGTAATTATTAGCAATAAGTAAGCATTTGCCTTTCATTTTAGGTGTCAACTTTTTTACCATAATTATTAGATTGGCACTAAGTACTACCTGCATGCTCTCTCTATCAAAAAAAAAAAAAAAAAAAGAGGTAAATCTAATAGTACGTACTATTTCATTGGAGTATGTAAATAAACTTATTCTATAAAAAATTTAGTTTAGTTGAATCAATCAATAGCAAGATGATTTGAGTAATTGAAAACTATCTTTATAGATTTACCAATATCAACAGCAAGATGATCCATTTGAATTATCTTTATAGATTTACCAATATCAGTATCAACAGCAAGATGGTCCATTTGCTGCGAGGCAACTATTCAACTTGTAAAGTTGGGGTTCTGTACAAGTAAAAATGCCTATTTTGTTACCGATCCTCACATCTAATATTTTAATGATTCTTCTAGTAAGTCTTATTACGCCCACTACGCATTATTTGAATTTTTCTTTTCTTTTCCTTTCTTGTTGGAGAATTCATCCTTGTCTTGGCCTCTAATTTGTAGCAACAAGTCATCAAACAAAAGGGAAATGCCTGGTAGCATAAAATTTCTCTCCATGAATTTTGTATGTAAAAACAAAAAGTTTGTCTTGGAAAAATGTGTGTTTTTACTTCAGATTAGGTAATGAAGTCACAACGATATGGTTACTTCAAATCAGTAATGGTGGGTTTCGGCACAACATCCAAAGTCCAAACTCCAAAGAAGGCTTGATGTAAGAAAGATGAACTTGGGATTTGGCTGCTCTTCCGTCGGATTCTTTTGTTTTGTTTAGTTTTTAACTTTTTACTATTTTGTTGTGGCGAATGGGTCTTCTGAAGCAGCATGGTTAAAAGAATCAATCCTCCTCTTAATCTTAATTTACTTAAAATTGATTTTTAAAACTTTAAATTTACTTTTTGAAATTTCTGATTTTTTTTTTTTGACATTTAGTCTAACTAATGATTTTTAACTATTACTTCCTCTTCTAAAAAAATTAATTTTTTGTATTTTGAACCGAAATTTTCATACTTGTTGATAAAAGTTCAATCTATTTTATAAAAAAAAAATTCAGAATTATGCAAAATTGTAAAGTATATTTGTTTATTTATTGAATATTAACAATATAAAAAATTAGAAAAATAAAAAATAACTCAGAATAATTTCAATTTTTTTAAGAGCTCTATGTAAATTTTACTTGGATGATTTTTATCATGAAACTCTTTATATGATTGTTATTTTTTGAAATAAATGACAGAAAACTAAAGGATGAACTAAATCTTAAAAAAATAAAAATTTAGAAATTTCAGAAATCAAAATTGAAGTTTAAAAACTCAATTTCAAATGATTTTTAATTCAAAAAAGTTTTGGCTTATTTGGTCTTATTGTATATATGATATTTGAAAGTCCGATAATCAAATTTAGTGGGTCTTGCTCAATAAATATTGTTTTAGGTTAAACTAGTGTTTAATACGTGCGTTGTGCAGAATCTGATTTATATCTATATATATTTATTTGAATTTTGTGTTATTTTTGTTGAATATATTATGATATTTTTCTATCATATTGTTTAATTTATATTTTACATGAATGAACGAATAATTTATTTCAAATCTCTCATTTCAAATTTAAAATCATTTATATAACCAAGATACTAAAATTATTGTTCATTGATATTGCAAACAAATATTTTATTTTTTGGTATTTTTTAATTATTTAATTTAAAGAAATCAGTAAACGTTGTAAAGGTTGGAGGCCAGACAGATTCTTTATATCACCCTTGATTCATAATTTTGACGTAGTTTCTTGTCTTTTAAGTATAGGATCCGTTCAATATAAAGGAGAAAAAAAAAGAATAAAAAATTATATATATATATATATATTGTTTTTGAGTAAATTATAAATTAGTCACTTTTTTTAAAAAAAATAAATTAATTAGTTTTTTTAAATTAATTATTTAATCTTTTAATCAATATTCATCATATTTAATTTAATATTATTTTATACTATAAAATATCATTTTTTTTCTCGTCAATCGTTTCATATATTTTAATTATTTATTTTTCTATTTTTTTAAAATAAAAGAGACTAATTAATTCTTTTTTTCAAGACTAGAACAACTAATTTATAATTTACCATATGCTTTTGTCTATACCCTCTTGACATATTTTTTATGTTATTTTTATTTGGTTGAGTAGCGGACCTGATTAAAAGAAACCGATGAGGATTCTTAGGATACCTCTTTTTACTTCTTTTTGGCTCCCACACCTGGGTTAAAAACATGAATGACACCAAAGCAAAGCAACAAGGTCGTGGTGTTTCTATTTGGTTAATGTTAGACCTATCTCTTTCTCGATCATAAGCAACTAAAAGCTTGATTAACCCACTTAAGCATATTTGTCAAGACCCAAGAAAGTTTGAAAAAGACATAGTTTGAATCCAAGGAGAATCAATTATTATCATCACATTCCATACGACAAATCAATATGGAGCAAATACGACCTCTTCTGTTGCACGCGGCTGCCCGAGAAATAAAGAGCCCACTGGACAATCATTGCTGTCCTTGCCTTTTGAAACATACTTACATCCCTTCTTCTTTTTCTTTTTTTCTTTTAAATAAACTTTTTACCAATTCAAATTACCTATTCACAGGTTTTTCTTGCTTGAAATTTTATCACGCTAACGGGAATTTTTGTCATGTCAGCTAAGTTTGTCTTGGTTTTACATTTTGGACCTCGTATCAACTTATTCTTCCCTATAAGTCTATAACTATTAAAAAGTTCTATTTAGTCCATGGTTCCAAATTATTATTTCCACATAGACACTTGATCTAGAACATTTCAATCTTTAAAAACTTGGTCAAGGAAAATTAAACTTAAAACAATGCTAAACAGCTTAAGCATGTCTAGAAATCAAAATATTTTACCAAAAAACTTGTACTCCAGTGGAAATAGTTTTGTTAGAAGCCTTGGCGCTTGGGTGTATGTGTGAGTTAAAAAAATATTAAAAAAAGAAAAAGAAAAAGAAAAAAGAGATCAAAATAATTTACCAAACTACTTTTGTCATTAAATCTTGAATCCGGTCGCTTATTAATTCTTATATTTTCCTACTTGATATTTATTTTTACAAACATATCAAACACTAAGCAATTACTTTCAAGTCGTTTTTATTAACATAGATAAATAAGTTATTTTACATGCAAACAGCTTTATTAAAAAAATAATAATAATACTAACAAAGAAGATAAAATTGGTTGTGCATATCTTGGTTGGTAGGGCTAAATGTGGTATCACCTATATGGACAGGGCCCAAGTAAAGGAACAGAAACGAAGGTGCAGCCCAACAAGAAGTAAAGCAGGTTCGGAGTATCTCAACTATGATCTTCTGGCCCGTTTAGACTGCAACCATTAAAGCATATTGGATTTGACACGTTTTCTGTGAATGGATTTAGTTTTCTACCCCAACAGGCTTCCCTAAGTTTTAAATCCTTTTCATTTTTCTTTTTATTGATGTTGCATTGGGCTTAGTATTATGTCGTTTATAAAGTTCATATATATATATATAAACTGTTGGCGAGAATTTTTTACAAAATAAATTTTAATTAGAGGTGTTATGAAAAAAAATAAGCTGCTTAAAGTTTTGAAAAAAAAATATTTTGAAATAAATATAAATAATCCTTTTTAGAACATATGTAAATAAAAATACAGACGATTTTTTTAAGAAAAGAAGAAACACATTTTCTCTTAAGATGATTCTTGAAAAACGCACCATCGAACTAATACGTTAAAAAACAATCATCTTTTATCACCTCATCTATTGGTTGAGATCATGAGTTGAGAAATTATCAGGTGAGTTATCTTTCTGACGTAGATGGGATAGGAATGTGTGTTCATATTGAGGAATGTTATTTGCCAGGTACTTTCCAGATTAGAAAAAATAATGCCTTGAGGAAAAAAATCTTCAACCGTTAACAAAATTGAAAAAGAAAATATCTTCAACTATCCATTAATGCACTAAAAACGACATTGCAACGCATTTTCTAGCTGATGCCCAATTTCTTGTCTTTATTAAACAGCCGAAACTTTTGACCATCTTGGACAGAATTCTATGCCGAATTAATTTTCTTGTCGCACACGAGCAATGTAGTTCGTTGTATATGATAGAGGAAGATCCTCTTGGACGATGACAAAATTAGCTATGAAACATTTACATACCTCAAATATGTAGCATTGCTCAGCCGCCAAGCTGGTGCTCAGAATCCATATATGGCATCTCAAATTGGTTAAGTTTTTGTTTCAAAAAATGAACGAATTATGTAGCATTTGGAGGAGATATCTTTGTGGTTGAAGCATGCAAGTCAAAGGTTCATTTTAAATATGCTAACTCAAATTATCTAGCAATGGTTTCATTTTAGGAGTCAAACCAAACTATAGATAGTACTACCACAACCACCGATTTTCTTAGTGTCTATTAGGAATGGCAATAGGCTAGGTAATGGGCTAGGTATCCAGCCCATTAAGCTAATTCTTTACCTTATTCATTAAAAAATATTATATTCATTATCCTATTCATTATTCATTAAAAATTATTTGTTCATTTTTTTATTCAGTATATATCTATTATATCATATATTGTCCATACCCATTTACCTGCTCATTTTTTTCTTTAAATTGAAAACTTTTTTTTCAATTTTTTTATTGATATTTTTTTTACAAACTCTTTTTGCCTAGACTCTTTATATATTAAGATTTTTATTAGATTACAAAATAAAAATTATTATTTTTATTATCATAAATAAATATGTACTAAGTTGAATAATTATTATATTTTTTTATTTCCT